TTACACTCTCCCTAGGTTTCAGAGGAATAGCTCAGGATGTGAGGTGAGCTTCCCACCCAAGAGTGTGCATTATGAGGGATGAAGTCTTCTAGGTACGTAATTAGGGTAAAAGTCTTTACATTATTTATAACAAAACAACAAAAGAAGTAAGGCTTTCTTAAACAAGGTTTTCGGTTCATGGATACCGAAATAATTGTCAAGATTCAATATGTGATTTAATATCTATGTCTACATTATCATCTAGTTTTCATGTAATAAGTGAGCTTAAGCTTCCACTTCTTAATGAGGCTAATTTCTCATATGGCTGAATTGTATCATGAGCATTAGGATTCTTCAAGGGCAAGTCACCGCAAATTTTCCGGAAAGCATCACAGTATTTCAAATCATGCAGAGGCAAGCCCAACATAAGTCAATGTTAATCCAGCCTGGCTCCATCCTGCTTGATCCCATCTTTTGCTCATTCTCAGGGACTAGATCTGCTTGGAAAGAAAGAGGAAAAGTGCTAGGGATGAAGTGTGGAAGGAAACACTTGTATTCAGAATGGAGTTCTTTTTCCAGTCTCTGGTTCTCTGGGAATACCTGGTGGGCATTTCTGTTCTAGAGCAAGGTGAACAGATTGAATAGCAGGGGGGTTGCTTGGCTGGATTGAGAAGTGTCTCAGGTCAACTCACAGAAAGTGCAGATAATGATAATACCAAGGATATAGGTAATACGAGAAAGCATATGTGAAAAACAAAATATTCAGAAACCAAGCTCTGAGGTATTTCAGAATCACTGAATCAGAAACCTCACTTTTTAAAAAATCCTTACCCAAGGACATTTTTTTTCATTGCTTTTAGAGAGAGGGGCTACGGGAAAGGGAGGAAGGGAGGGAGGGGAAGAGAGAGAGAGACAGCTAGACAAACACTGATGTGAGAGAGGAACATCGACTGATGGCCTTCCTGCACACATGTGACAGGAGATGGAACCCACAACCTTTCAGTCTATGGGGTGACGCTTTAACCCAACCGAGCCACACCGGGCAGGGCAGAAACTTCATCCTAATAATAGTCATCGCCAACTTAACATGTCTAAATGGATCTCTCTCTCTCTCTCTCTCTCTTTTTTTTTTTTGTACCTCCTGGGTCTGTACCACCATCTACCTGGTTGCTCAAGCTGAAAACAGAGGAGACATCCTATCCTCCTTTCCCCTTACTCCTCACAGGTAATCCAGCCTTGTCTAGCCATATGCACCAGCCTCTAACCCTGTGATCAATTTCTGTCCACACTGCCTCAACCCCTATAATATATAAGTGTTTCTTGGCTGTTCCTTTGGACTTGGGGCACTGTGGGTAGGGAATTTCAGGGCCCAGCACCAAAGAGTGTCAAGAATGGGCTAATGTGGGCTCTGAACACTCACAGCCCCTTGAGCCAGTTAGGGCCTTCTATAGCAGGGCCCTGTTATCTGGAGGAGGGAAGGGCTGCCCTTGAGTCTACCTCCAAGTTTCCTCTGGAATGAGGAGACCTGCATCTTTCATCTCCACTTCTGCCATCTCACTCCAGGTCACCCATATGTGGTCCCCTACTTTGCCCCTAGCCTTATAACAAACTTTTAAAACTAAAAATCACCTTTAGTTGCCACCATCTTGCTTAAAACCTCTCCCTCACACTTAGAATGAATTCCCAACTCCCAATCACAGACTCCTGCAGGGGCATCCAGGGACAGGGAGCAGGGGCACGCATTTTCAGCAAATACCAATGGAGTTAGCAGCTTTGGCACCAGACAGCCTGGGCTCAGATCCTACTTAGCTCCTTACTATTTCTACAAATTTGAGCAAGTTCCTTGAACCTCTCTCTAAGCCTTAGTTTCCTCATCTATAAACTGGTGATGATTTTATAAGTATCTCCCTTATAGAATTGTCAAGATTCACTGGGATGGTTTGTGAAAAGAAGTCAGTGTACTCACACTAAATATTAGCTGATAGAAGTAATCAGGATAATGGAAACATTAATTAATTTAAAGCTAGGGTCTGACTCTTCAACTATGAGCTTTCATACATTTCCTTAGCTGACAAGTCATGCCATCTGTAAACTAAACATGTCAGAAATTTTCTTGTAGAAGACAAGGTAACAATTAAACTAATAGAATCATAAAACTATGAAATTTATAGTTAGAAAATATCCAGAATACCACGATAGGATTGTCTAACATATTGTTATTTCAAGAGACATTTAGAAAGCTCTTATTTTATGAGGTTGCACATCTGCTGAGATCTGCTCTCATTCTGAATTTAGGTTGAGAGTAGAAAAACAAATAGATCAAGCACTGAAGAATTTCCCTATCATTTGAAAGCCCACCTCTTATTCAGAATGTCTCCCACCACAATACTCCTGACTTGCAACTGTCCAGCCCCTCTAGATTTGAGTCACCTCCATTGCTCAGGGAAACCATTATATTTTCAGGCAATGCCAATTTTTATAAGGAATATTATATAAAACCAATACTTATCTTCCTTTAGTGAATACCTACTAGTCTTTGTTTCACTCTCTGGAGCTCCTCAGAAGTCATTTAAAATCTCTTCCACATGATAGTCTTTTACACTATTCAGACAGCTGCTCTGCTGCCCATTAGGCAATCTCTCCTACAGGTTCAAGTTTCCAGGTCCTTAAATCCTTCCTCCCAGCACATGGTTCCTTTTCTAAGGATCACATTAGCTTCTCTGGTACACATAATTAGTTGCTTACTATCAACTAAAACCCCTATGCTTTTCATGCATACTTCCTCTAAGCCACGCTCACCCATTAACATTTGTGTTTGGTCTTTTCCATCTACAAGCAGGACTTCGCACATGTTCCCTATCTCACTTTGTTGGCATTGCTTTACTGTTCCAGCCTCTCCAGATCATTTTGCATTATGATTCTATCATCCATTAGTTAGTGTATACAGTTTCATGTCACACAAGTATTGGATTACCAGGTCGTCCATATCCTCACGCTAGGCACCGACAATGCTGTTGAACAGGACCCTGCCATCTGCCATCCAGACCTGCCTCCGGGCGCACAGGGGCTCATTAACTACCATTCCCTATACTCATTCGCCAGTGTGGCAGACACCCCCTGGGTACCTCCAGTGACTCATGCCTTTGTGTAATCCCTCCCCATTGAATGCAGAACCTGTGACTTGCTTCTAATCAACAGGATATGGCAAAGGTGATGGGATGTCACTCCCTTGACCAGGATACATTATGTAAGACTCCACCTTAGCAGATGGGAGGGAACAGACTCTGTTGCCAGCTTTGAAGAAACTGCAATGTTTTGAGGTGGTCACATGGAATGTGGGTGGCCTCTAGGAGCTGAGGGCAGTCTCTGGCAGGCAGTTAAAAGGAAAACAGGAACCTCCATCTTACAGTCGCAAAGACAGAAATTCTGCCCAGAACCTGAGGGAGTGTGGAAATGGATCTCTCCCCAGGCAAGCCTTGTCTGAAAGTGTAGCCCCTGAACAAGAATGCAGCCTGGTGAGACCCTGAGGAAAAGACCCACAGGAAAAGACCCACATAACCAGAGACACCGAGATAAGAAATGGGTGCTATAAACTGTTCTATGCAGCACAGAAAACCAATACAACCAATAAATCCATCTAAATGTGCTATAATCCAGCAACTTTTTCTCCATCTTGTTCTTTTCCTTTTTTTTTTTTTTTGAGGTAGAAGAAGTGAGCCATGGAAGAAATGAGTTCAGGAAACAAGTTATAGAGGCAAAAGAAGGGCCCTTGGAGCTTAGGAGAGAGGCAAGGAAAACACACCTGGGGGAAGAGGGTAGGGAAAGGCACAGGCGTTCTCCATAGAGCCGTGCCTCTAGCTTGTTCTTAAGTGTGTCACTGTCAAATGCCTTGGTGAATCTGAGACACACTATTTTTCATTCTACTAAATTAGTCAATCTAGTAAGTCTGTTAATGTGAAGAAATGTTAGGTTCACCTGCCTTCTTAGTGATCTGGTTATGGTGATTGCTGCTTCCCTAAAAGCTCACAAATTATTCTCTTAATAATCTCTTCTCAAGCACTGGCTGGTGAGGCTCAGTGGATTGAGTGCTGGGCCTGTGAACCAAAGGGTCGCAGGTTTGATTCCCAGTCTATGGCACATGGCTGGGTTGCAGACCAGGTCCCCAGTAGGGGTCACATGAGAGGCAACTGGGCATTGATGTTTCTCTCACTCTCTTTCTCCCTCCCTTCTCCTCTCTAAAAGTAAATAAATAAATAGTCTTTAAAAAAATTGAAAAAAATCACCTCTTCTCAAATCTTTCTTGGGATGGCCATGCATTCATGTTCATGACACTTGGAAATAGGAATCTCTTAATGGTAACCACATGACCTAAAAGAATTAATCTTGCTTCCAAACAAGCCCAATTTAAAATGGTGTTGAAATAGCTAGGCACTGAGAAAATTCAAATTAACCAATCCTTTATCCAACAAATATTTAATGGAGCACCTTTGAGCACTGTCCCCAAGTTCTTAGTCACACCTCTTCCCAAGACATAGAACTCAATTCCACTCCCCCTTGAGTGTAGGTTGGACTGAGTCACTCATTTCTAAAGAACAGGATATGGTAGAAGTGATGGTATGTGACCTCTGAGGCTAGATGATAAAAAGCATTGTGGCTTTTTCTTGCTCTTTCTTTTGATTCACCTGCTCTGGAGGCAGCTAGCTACCATGTCGTGAGGACACTCAGTTTCACATGGTGAGGACCTCAGGCCTCCTGCCACGAGTCAAGCAAATAAGTGATCTTGGAAACATGTTCCCCAGGCCCAGTTAAAGCTTCAGACAACTGCAACCCTGGCCAAGATGTTGACTACAACCTCCTGAGAGATATTGAGCCAGAACCACCCAGCTAAGCTGCTTCTGAATTCTTGATCCTCAGAAACTATAGGAAAATAAATGTTCATTGTTTTAAATTGCCAGGTTTGGGTAATCTGTTATACAGCAGTTAGAAACTAATACAAACATACATTCAGAATTTTCACTCACCTTGTAGGATTGTAAAATTCTTGATGAGTTGACCATGCTTGGAGTCTACCAGCTTCATTTCTTCCATAATCACTGATAAGTTTGCTACTTCAGTGTCTAGTCTCGACCTCATCATATCCTGTTGCATCCTGAGAGAAACAGAATCCAAACGGATATTGGCCAGTGTGTTATTCAAGGAGGTCAGATCATCTGTGTGTTTGGTCAGGGTATCTGTGCAGGTGGTCCTGACTTCATTCAGATTGCTGGTCAGCGTCCGCAGGTGGTGGGCTGTATAACTGATGTTGCTAATGATGTTTACAATATCTGTCTCAAAGATCTGGAAGCGTTCCTCTAGCTGGCTGAACTTGATGGCTGTTCTGTTCTCCACGTCCTTGTGTACGTCCTGCAGGTCTTTCAGGTTTTGCTCATTGGCTTGTGAGGCTGTGGTGATGTTGTCCATCTGACCTGTGAATGAGCTGAGCTGGTTGTTCATATCCTCCAGGGTGTCATTATTGGCTTTGGCCAAGACAGAGTTAATGGCAGCCAGTGCCTGCAAGCTCTGGACTTTCTCCTTCAGCCAATCAGTGTCCTTCTTGGCTTGCAGGAAAACCTGCTGCAGATTTTGGAAGTCGTTCTTGATTCGTTGGATAGCCTGGCTCGTGTCATCCACAGACCGCTGCAGGTTAGTGATGAGGTTCCTCTGCTGCACCTGGGTAAGGTTCAGGTTGTTGAGGTTCATAATGACCACATTATGAGAATACATTTGGCTCTGCAGATTGCCCTGCAGCACGCTGGTATCTTGTTGCAGATTCGTGACATAGCCATTATATGCCTGGAGGGTTTTGTTTACAGTGCTGATGAAGAAAGAGTTGTTCTCCAAAGTTTCTTTCAGTTGACTCTGCCTGTCCACCAATGCATCCCCACTTGCCTGTAACTTTTCCAGCGTATCTTTGTTCTTGCTGGTCTTTTCTGTAATCTCACGAAGTTGTTGTCGAAGATCCAGAATGTCTGATCTGAAGGTGGAGAGCTCTGAATTGGTGCTTAGAGCCTTCTTCCCAGTTTGGTCCCCTGGAATAGGATATGTTTGTTACTTAGCTTGGTGGCATGGAGAAGTGTTCCAGTGAAGTCAAAAATCCCAAAGACTTAACTAGTATGTCCTGTATTTTAGATGTAAAATCTGTGCTATATGCAGACTGCTTTGCATTAGTAAAATCCACATATCTATTTTTAAATTAAATTTATTGGGGTGCATCAGTTAATAAAATTATATAGGTTTAAAGTGTAACCACATATATATTGAAACTGCATCCCGGGAAACAGGAAAGGGTGCTGAATACCAGGACTAACTTCTTTTCTCAAAGAAGGAATGAATATTTACCTGATTCTAGAGCAGCACCAGGCAGGGTATCAAGAAAGGAATAACCTATTGTTTGTTAAATTCACCAAAATTCCTTTTTAAAAAATGAAAACAAAAATCAATAGCTAGAATAGGCTATAATCACTTATTTTTAAAATTAATCTCTACAATTCTCCTATGCAGGTTAAAATAATTCAAATAAAAATTTACTGAGCATTTTATAAATGAGCTTTTAATAAATGGTATTTGTGGTACTCTTTGATCAGGATTGGTCTTCAGATTTTTTTTGGCACATAATAATGTTCTTGGGGGGATTCACCTCCAAAATTGGTTCTTATTTTTAAAATTAAAACCCTTTGAATTAAATCACAATGAAAGATTCAACACACAACACAAACATTTCATGTCCTTTTGGGTGAATGTGAGTTTATAGCAACACCATTCTAAAAAGCTGTGGTTGTTTATACAAAGTAGAGTGAGGAAATTCAACTTTGTGGTTCACTCTCAAACAGATTACCTAGTTTTTTCAGGTCACTCTCCACTGCTGTGAGCTTGTCATCATAGGTTTGGCGAGATGTCTCCATGCCACCTGTAACATTGTCCATTTTCTCTACAACTAAGATTTGAAGATCAATTCATTAATACATATACCTGCTCGAATTTTATTTTTCAGTTTCAACAAGAGATTATTTCATTACAGAACAAAGGAAACATTGAAACAAAGAGTATAAATGAAATGGGGAAAAACCATTCTTTCAGAAAAATAAATGAGTTAATTTTTACAAGTCGTAGTTTACTTGTAAGCTTGAGAAATGTATGATTTTAATTATTCTCATGCTTCATTATTGCTGTGGATGGTTTAGAAATTGAAACTAATTTGTGAGTTTTTATATACAGGGTCTGGCAGAAGTAACGCCTGCTTGAGTGTCATTGGTAGGGTAAAAATATGGGTGTAATAATTTACAGTTTTAATTTGAACATTTCACCTAAAATGTCATATGGTGTGCTTGAGTGTGATATTGTTGTTACAGAATTACATGGTTATGATTTTGTAATGAAAGATTTTGTACTAAAAAAGGGGGGTTATTTGTACTGGACCCTATATAATAGAAGTCCTTAACCTGTATTGTTTCCTATACAGATGGTCTCCAACTCTATGATGGTGCGAAAGTGATATGCATTCAGTAGAAACTGTTCTTCAATTTTTTTAATCCGAAGTTATATTTATTGATTTTATAGAGAGAGGAAGGGAGGGAAGGAGGGGGAAAGGGGGAGAGAGAGAGGGATACATTGATGTGAGAGAGACACAGATTGGTAGCCACGTGAATAGGCCCTGACCAAGGATCTAACATGCAACCTAGGTATATGCCCTGACTTGGAATTGAACCTATAACCTTTTGGTATATGGGACGATGCTCTAAACAACTGACCCACCTGGCCAGGGCTGTACCTAGAGTTTTGAATTTTGATCTTTCCTGGGCTAGCAATATGTGGTAAGATGCTCTCTTATGATGCCGCTACAGCCCCCAGTCAGCCACGTGATCACCAGGGTAAGCAACCAATACTCTACAGTGTATTAATTGTATTAGTTGGTTGTGCCCAACTATAGGCTGATGTAAGTGCTCTGAACACCTTTAAAGTAGGTTAGGTATATTAAGTACATTTCTGACTTTTGATGGGTTAATTGGGATATAAACTGACCATCGTAAGTCAAAGAGTATCTGTATTAATTTCTAAAGATAGAGTTACAACGCTGGGGTCATTTACAAAATTTCATTACTCATCACACTCCCAACCATCCCTGGCAGGTAGGACTCACATAGCAGGAGGTTTCATGGCAGACCTAGCTCAAGTGTATATACAAAGTCTTCGTAGGAGGGACACAAAATAAAGAGCTGGCTACTTTCTGTCTTGAGTTTCACCACTGAGGCCTGAAAATCTGCTTCTCCTTAGTGACAAGTAAATCTGTAGTTTATCAGTTCTCAATTAGAAGCCTAAATTTACAAAGAATACTTTAAAAAAGCATTCTCTTGATTACGCATGATAGGGAAAGTTAGTGATGAAGTGTTACGTAAAAGCTTCTGTTATTACTTATTCTCGGAAGGCAGTAATTCTCTATGGTTATGAACACAAGTTTATCTTTTTCAAATGTCTAATAAGAGTGTATTTATCCAAAAGTGACGTCTGTGAGGTCCAACCTCTAGCAACTTGGGATGAAATCTGACTGTCATTCTTGCTATAACAGCTTTTTAAAAATAATGACTTAATTTTTTTTAAGCATGACTATCTTTTGTATATTAATTGTGAGCCAATGGGTCTAATTTATTTTATTGATTGATTGTGATTTTGAGAGTATGTTTATTAAAGCTGGGACAGCTTAGGGTAGAGGAAGCAACAGGCGAGAGTCTAGGTGGAGCTGTGCTTTGATGCTCCAGCAGTGCTATAGGAACTCAGTGAGGCTGCTGTCAGCTCACCGAAAAGTCAGAGAACAGGGGGCCTTGGAGACCGGTTCAGATACCCGTTGCTCCCTAGTGCAAGTCCCGTGGGGACCCCTGGAGGTTAGGAGAGAAAAGTGAAGATGCAAGCCTGAGAGGGAAGAAAGGTGTGGGTGTGCGCCAGAGAGAGAACCCATGGGCCCAGTTCATGTTATTCATCAAGTGTCCCGCCCACACATGATTGTGTGGGAAGATTCTCCTCATTTCTATCAGGAAGTAGAAATATGGTCCTCTGTATCTGAAAGACCTAAAGTGAACCAGCTTGCTGGCTCCTGGCACCTTCCCTGGCGAAGCCTGTCATGCTCCCCCTTAAGCTTCTACAGTCTAGCCATAATGACATGTGTGCATTGCACCAAAATACTTTCTCATCCTAGCCTTTCCACATGTTCTTCTTTCTACCTAGAATGTTCTTCCCTGGCCTCTTCTCCAAGTTAAGACCTACTTCCTCCTGAGGACTCAGCTCTCACTTCTTATGGGAAGTCTTTGCTGAAATACATCTTGCAGAATTCTCTTGGCAAGTAGTCCCTTCTCTCTTACAGAACTTACTTCACTGCTGTCATGGCTTGTTTACTGTAAGATCCTCTAAGGCAGGAAAATTTGTATTCAGTTTTGTCTCCAGCTCTTAGCTCAATGTGTGGTACTTATAGGTGTTCAACACATATTTACTTATGCCGTTTACTTAAATAAATAAGACTCTGCCTGCTGACTGCTGAGGCCTGTGAAAAATTGGCTGAGCTAGAGGTCACGCAAACAAACATACAAACCACCCCAGACTGGGAAGCTCCAGCACTGGCAATGAGTATGACATATAGTTGAATAATTATTGTTTTTTAAAAAAATGACTACATAGACAAAGAGGTATAGTTATGATAATCTGCACCTTAGGGTTGTTGCATGGGCATGCGTAGTCCTAATCCCTGGAAACTCCAAAGAACAAAATGTTTCATCTGCATTTTAGCAAAACTAAACTTTTAAAAAATAAAATAGAGAGTGTTTATAAGTTTAGGTTCAGTTCTGACCCTCAAATCAAAACATATGCCTCCGTTTGTCCTCAAACCACACACAGGATCTTAAGTCCTGCCTTTTTTTTTTTTCTTTTTCCTGGAAGCCAAAGAAAACTCTAAATATGCTGACAGTCATTTTCTATGCTTTCCAATTTTTCTTCCATTTTAGTTTAAAAAACATAGAACTGTCATAGACAGATAATTCAGATTTCCATAGAATAAAAGGAATAAATCCATTCATTTAAAAAAAAAAAAAACCCTGTTAATTTTCTCTGGTGCAGCAAGGAAATGATTTGCCCTGCCCAGGAGTGCTAATGAATTGGTTCCATGCCTTGGGGCACATGTCTGTGTTTAAAAATGGGATCTGGGTATAAAGCTACAATCTTTAGAGCTGCAAAGCTGGCAGCTTGCTTCTGCATAAAAACACTATGCTGGTGGAGGCGCAGAACCCACTTGCACAGAGCATTTTCATTTGTTTTTACTCTTCACATACTGCCGCAAATTCTAAGAATGGCAGAACCATCCTTTCTTACCCTAGAAGTTTCCAGTCTGTAGAATTCAGTTTGTAAATTGTTTTCATATGGGAAAAACAAACATGAAACACAGAAGAATTACTAGCAGTCTGATTTTTTATGGGCTCCCCTTTATTGGAGATTGTTTCTTGACAGAGAACTTTTCCTCAGAATATCAGTGCCTTAGGTATTATATCTGAAGAGCTGTCCCTCTTCAAGTACCCAAAGCCTAATTCTCTAGGATAATCTGACAATAATAATACCTTTTCTACAAAGGGACCTGGGTATAATCCCTTGGCCTGGGCCACTCACCTCCTCCCTCCCTTGTCTTGATGTCACCCATCTTTTAAGATGCACTCCAAATCTCATCGCCCCATTGTGCTAAGCCTTCCCTGGTAATTTGATTTCCATACCATACCAACTGAACTTTTATCTGAATGGCAGTAACAACAGCCTCTATTTATGGAGTACCTACTCTTTGCAAAATGCACTGCACCATCGCTGCAGCTAATCCTTACAACTATTTTACAGATGAAGAAATTGAGGTTCAGAGATGTTCAGCATCTTGCCCAGAGTCACACAGCTTGTAAGTGACTAAGTGGCCAAAAGATCTAACTCCATAGCCCATACTCTAAGTCCATTGTCTCTCATTTACTATTTCTTTTTGCTAAATAAGGTTTTCTCTAATAAAAATCTCTTGAGGGTAGGGATTATGTATTGTTTGTCTTCTCTTTACAGTCATCATCCTCAGATGTTTACTAAGCACCTGCAAGTATGTGACATAGTGTGAGACATTGAGAACAAAAGCTCATGGCCCAGTCTTTGAGGGGAAGAAACAAAAGCAGAGCACAGAGCTCCTTCCTGGTGCTCACGGATGTCTATACCAGATTGATTGTGGTACTCAAGGGAAACACACCCCCTCATTGGTACCTGGGACTTCCTGGTGATACCAACTGTACTCCCCTGGAATACAATAAAGACATTTATACTTTGAACACTGTTTTTGATTTTCATTACAAAAATACAGAAGATCGGATTGCAGGGTCTCTAACAACAGCTACACACTGCTATTTGTGCACATGTTGAAAGTCTACTTTGCCATTCCTCCTTTGGCAGAGCTTAGCAGCAAGGCAGACATTCTATGACTAGAAATGCTGAGTTAAAGGAGACCCTTACTGAGAAAGATTCAGATTTCTGTTTTTCTGCTTTATCCTAGTTACCTTAAGATGGATGTCTTCTGGGCAGAACAATTGAGTAGAATTTTCCTATTCAGGGAATGTTCTGGAGGAAACATGACCTATCAAACTTAAGAGATGGCTTCTGCCATCAAAGCTCCATTGATGGATGATACAAAGCCCAGGGCAGAGGATGCACCAAGCTGTAACTGTCCAAGAACATGCTTTCTGTAAAGCAGCTGATGAGCCTCATGATCATAGTCACTGTACAGACTGTCTGGATGACTCAGCAGTCCTCTGTCTTGTTCAGCAGATTCTCTAGAAGAAACTTAAGTGATATCCTAAATGGTCACAGTGTAAGTGACATAACAGAAGAGTAAATAACGTTTTGAGGAAAACATATGGAGTTGCCTTTGCTAACTCCTATAAATAAGGAGTTTCTATTTTATTCCCTTTCATATTGTTCTTCAGAGAAATATGTTTTTTCACTGGATACTTTTTTTGATGGAATTTCTCTAGACTTCAAAGGGAGATGTGTGAAGGGAAAACTGGGTCTTATCTTTCAGCCTCTTACAATGTGGAGTCACCAGCATCTTATCAGCAAGAAAGAGGACTCGCTGTATAAGAGAAGACACATCTGGAAAATATCAACATTTTAGTCCATTAAGGCTGTGTTGGGAAACCAAAATTGCATGTTGTATTATCTTATTTTTGTTAGTAGAGGCCTGAGGGATGGGCGCCTCGAAGGAGGGAAAAGTCAGGCAAGACAGTCATCTTGCCTCCGCTTGTCTTGCTCCCTCAATCTCTTCTCCTCTCCATCCTGGTCAGGTCACACACTCCAGAGTAGGCCAAGCCGATCTCTAGGATTTTAGGTTTCTAGGTAGAGCTTTAAGTTGCTGCAATTCCCTAAGAGGAGACTGGCTTGGAGCTAACCCCTGGCATTGACTGACTGTCTTTATAGGAGTCAGCCCTAATTCACAATCCATCTCCCTATCTATTCTTTCATTAACTTCATTCAGTAAACTTTATTGGGTATCCATTAAGTACCATGAGGCAAGGTCCCAGTGGGAAATACACAAAATAAAAGATAGCCTCTTGTCCTCACGGAACTTACAGTTTGGATGGTAAGACAGACCAACCCACTGGCCACAATGATGCAGTGTGATGAGCTGAAAGTAAAATAAAAAAGTCCTATGGGAACAAACAGGAGGGCACCTAATTCAGCGCTCAAGCGCTTCTTGCAGGACATGTGAGACATGAAGGGAAAGGAGGAGTCATGCAGATGCAGAGCACAGAAAAGGTTTTCTAGGTAAATGGACCAGCACACACAGAGCAAGCCAGAGCCAAGAAGGGCTTTCCACTGTTATAATGGAGAAAATATCTGTGCTTTAAAAATCAACAAACACGAAAAAAAAGAAAAAGAAAAAGAAAGAAAAGAAAAAAAAACCCCTCTCCTTTGGATCTTTTTGTATAAACAAACAAGAAAAAAAAAAGAAAAAGAAAAAGAAAGAAAAGAAAAGAAAAAACCCTTCTCCTTTGGATCTTTTTGTATAATTCTGAAGGTATAAAGATCCTATACCTTATTTCCTTGCAGAAAATTACAAAAATACCATGCTGGTATGCTCTTCAAACCTTTCTCATTTTTCTTTCAGTAAATGTTTACTTTCATGATGTCACAGAGTAGAAAGCCCTAAAGATATTTATTAAATGGCTATTTGATTCCAAGTTTCTTCTTTATCTGGGTTTGCTAGGAAAAGTCATGGAGGAATGATAATGACCGAAATAACCTAGTAAAGGAGTACAGTCTGAATCATCTAGGACAGAAAAATTCTCCTTTCCGCCAACTGGGTTCCCTTGCCCACCTCTGTCCAGCCCTAGCACTGATTAAATGGCCTTTCTTAATCACTTACTCTTGTTAATCCTAGGTTAGATGAACTCATCACAAATGAATAAAATGACCTCAAAATGATTTCCCAGATTTCCATTGCTCAAATTCATCAGTCAACACACAAGAGGAAGCACACAACTTTTCCATGTATATGTCCCTAGAGTTGGGACTTAACAAGCCCCGACTACCTGAATATTTTTGACATATTTTTCCCTTCTACTGGCTACAGTTGTATAAATGCAGTTATGGAGAAGGAAGGAACAGAGAAATATAGTCACTTATTTATTGGGATCAACTATAGGACAGGTAGTTCAATTACACCATCTTCGCTCATCCCAATCACCTTGAAGAGTGGCATTACAATTGCTATTTTACAGACAAGAAATTAGAAACTCTAAGAGGCTGTGATTCATACCCAGGTTACACAGCCATGCAGAGGACTTAGCATTGATGCTTGGCATGCCAGCAAGCACTTAATAAACATTCACAATTGCATTGCAAATGGCAGAATCAATAATTGGTCTAGGACAATCTGGCTCTAAAACCCGTTTTCATTCCAGTACACTCTATTTCCTCAGGAAACCACTGAACACTGGGAGAGAGGTGGGAAGAGTTACAAGTTGGAGGGAATTCACATTGACTGGTTTTCTTCCTAGGCCAAGTCTACAGCCCAAGAAAATGAGAGGGGAATGTGTGGGATTCTCCACTGTTAATCTGTCACTTCTGAGGGAAGGCAGCTGAGATGGTGGCTAAGTGAAAGTTTTGAAGATCAGCACACCCCGTGTCTGCCTCTTGCTGAAACAGATGACACATCTGTCTCATGTGTCTTTGATGGGAAGGCTTCTGTGGTTGTTCTCCATGAGAGTTTATATACTTCATGATTCTGCATCATGACACCTTCTACCTGTGGTATCTTGGAATGGGTACAGGGCTTGGGGAGGGGTGGGGATGCCATTTTGTCTTCAAGTTTGGAGGATTCAGGCAAAAATCTTCCACTGATCTTAAATCAGACACATTGAAAGAATGTCTAATATCCTATACAGTATAATTGAGTTAGTGGTACTGTCTCTGTGTTTAATTTCTATGGGACAATACTTTTATGGAGCTATATAAACAACAGTGACCACAGTAAATGTGCTGAAGAGAAAAAAGGGGAATTAGTTGGCCAGTCCCTGGGTAAAATGTCATATCTCTGGAGATCTTGTGTTTGGCTTCTCCTCTCCAACATAGTTTTCCGGTGTGCTCAATCCAGGGTTTCACAGGGCCTCTTGGAGATAAAATGAAAAAAGGCAGAGGAAGAGGGAGTAGCTGGAAATAGGCAGGAGTAAAGAACAAAGAGGAAAAATCTTTATAACTCAAAGAGGGTCATTCTTATTGTTAAAATGAGTCAAAAGGAATTGCTACTTGCACCTTCCAGATCCTACAACTACAAGAAGCTGAAGACACAAAGATGGAGCTTAGGATGTTGGTTAGCATCTGAGTTGTATTCATGAAATACTTCATAATTGTAAACATGGATTTTTATCACGTTAATGAAGGGAAACTTGCTATTTTGAAGGAAAAAGGAAATAGTACTTACCTTTGTATCCCAAAATGGCTACTGTGATTGTTAGCAAGGCACACAAAATGTATAATAATATGATAGAAAACTTCAGTGCCCAATTATTTTTACATTTGGTACATTGTGTTCCTTCCTGAATACCTGTAAAAGAAGTCAAATTTTAGTAATAATGACCAAAAAACCACTTAGAGGAGTATCATTTTGCATTTTGGTTCAAATGTTATGATTAAATATCATTTTTTACACATGCCTTACATTTTAAGGATGAGTTGTATTTTAAAATTAAACACACCACTTTAGCAACACAAGTACATTAAATATTACCATATTGCTACAAATGCATTTAATATGACTTGAAAATAACACATAATCCTGTTTCATAGAATAGTTTTGAACCAAAACCCACTCTGATAATTACAATTATGATTCCAATAAAAAAAACTACATGATGAGAGATTTAAAATACCCAAATCTACTTGTTTCAGCCATTATTGAACCTATAGCAATTCAAACACAACCAACCAAAAACAATTGTGACTTCTTCCGTGATGTTTGTTTCAGTGGTGCACTATAGCTAGTCCCTACTGGTTTGAAAAAGTCTCGTGTTGAATTTGTAGGAATTTTGGGAGCTGATTATTAAATTGTTGGCAGCTTGAAATCAGTCTTGGAGGGAGTATTTACACCATGAAAATTTGCAAGCACTACAAATTATGATCCCACCCCTCCTGCACCCAAAATGGTGTATCAGCATGTCACTGGCTGTAAATGTACTATAACCTATAGCAGAAACATAAGTTCTTTTATGATTAAAATGCTCAATATGTAACCATTTATATACATTACATATATATAGAAAACTGACACTGACTCTTATGTATCACAATTATTTAAATCAGAATTATGGGGATAACAAGAAAAATCAGATCTTTTTAATGAGACGAAGTAAATGTTGACTGCTCACAGTTCAACTCTTTGAAAATTCTCAACAGAAACACTACAAGCCGGAAGAGAATGGCAAGAAATATTCCAAGTCATGAAAAACAAAGGCCTGCAACAAAGACTGCTCTACCCAGCAAGGCTCTCAATTAAAATGGAAGGTGAAATAAGGTGTTTCCCAGACAAAAGACGGCTAAAAGAATACACCTCCACCAAACCAGCACTACAAAATATGCTAAAGGGACTGCTTTAAGAAGATGAAGAAAGAGTCTGTGAATACCCAGTTCCTTTCACAGTCACCAATACTTGATATTACCAATGTTTTTAACACTTACTAATCTGATTGTGACAATGATATGTTATTTTAATTGTTACTTTATTATTTGTTGAAACTAAACCTGTTTTTGTATATTTCTTGCCTATGTCTATTATTTTTAAAAAGCTTTAAATGACTTTTTGGTATTCTTTATCCATTTGTTGGTTAAATGTTTGTAGAATTTTTTTCACTAAAAAAAAAGCAACCACCAAAAATGCTATTAACCCTGTTTTAGATATGCTGCAAATACTTTCCTATTCTATTACTTGTCCTTACTTTTGTTTATATGTATATTACTATATAGTCTTAAATGTCTATTATAGTCATATTGTCAATATTTTGTGTTATAGCTTCTGGGTTTGAGTATTTTAGTTCAGGGTAAGAAAAATATTATTTTGTATTTTCTCCTAAAGCTCCTTAGATTTTACATATTGATTTTTATGTCACCTGAGTATTGTTTGTATAATGTGTGAAATAGGGCTCTATATTTGTTTTATTTCAAGTAATAGTGGTCCATGCACTCTAGTTGTTGAATAAGCCTTATTTTCCCCATTGATTTGAAATATCAATTTAATCATATTTACATTGTTAGACAGATATATACATTTGTTCTAGAATGCTCATTTTATTTCATTGATCTACTTGATTATTTCTGTGCTGGTGTCATGTTTTAATTGCTGAGACTTTATAATGGATTTAAATTTTTAAATATTTTATAATGGATTTTGATATTAAAAAAATAAATAAAATGAATCTGCGTTTAAATAAAAAGAAAAGAAAAGAAAGAAGGAACTCCTACCTTTTGTGACATGGGTGGAACTGGAGAATATTAAGCTAAGTGAAATAAGCCAGTCGGTGAAAGACAAACACCATATGATATCACTTATAAGTGGAATCTATTCAACAACATAAACTAATGAACAAAATAAACCACAGGCATGGAAACATGGAACAGACTGAAAGTGACCAGAGAGGATGGGGAAGGAGGACAATGGTGGAAAGAAGGAGAAGGGCCTAAACAAAGAACAGGTATGAATGACCCACGGACATGGACAACAGAGTGGGAACTGACTGTGGGGGAGGAGGGGGAGGTGGGATGGGTGGAGGAGGGCAAAGGTGGAAAAACTGAGACAACTGTAATAGAATAAACATGATTTAACAATAAAAAAATTTAAGAAAAAGAAAATTATTCTAATCTAAATGATAAACCATCATCACTTCTACAAGTGACTCCAGAAACTAACTCATAAAAGTGAATTTTCCATCAAATTGATTAGAAACACAGAAGACAAAGACTGTGGGCCTTTTAATGTGAAAACCACATTGTAAAGAGCACTAGGTGACTCCTTCTTTCCCTGACCTGTTTCCCTGTGTGTCTTACTAACAGTGTCCCCCAGGAGCAACTGCACATAAAATGCTCATCTTCCATAACTATGTTCAATAACTTTTGATGGGTAGGTTGTGGGGATTAAGCCACAGCCGAAGTTTCTTTCCTTGGGTTTGTAATTTTATTCATAGCGGCCTGCTTCAGTGAAAAGAGCTCAGCTGTGTTTAATGCAAAATGATGAGAGAAACAGCATAGAACAATGACTCAAATTTAACTTTCAGGGTTTAACTAGTTTCTCTGGTGTCCTGGGCCAGAGATCCAACAGAAGGGGGCTCAGTTTGTCCCATGACTCAGAATAGTGATTCTCAAATTCTGGGGGGCATGAGACTCATCTGAGGGGTTCATTAAAACACAGCATTTCTAATTCAGGAGGTCTGGGAAGGCACCTGAGAATCCGGACGTCTAGCACATTCCCAGGGGATGCGGATACTGCAAGTCTGGGGACTATGTTTTAGAACGGTGCTTCTCAATTAAACCATAAGGTGCTTACAAATCCCATTGTCCAAATGCAGATCTGATTCAGCAGGTCTGAGGTAAGAGCTAAGATTCTACATAAGATCCAAGTGATGCCTGGTCAGAGAGACACACTTTGAGGGGCAAAGATGTGGTTTAGATGATGATCATGCTGGATCAACCTTTGGTCAGCCAATTTCTTGAAGGTGAAGCTTTAAACTCAGGCTCATTGATCGAACAGACCTGGTGTGAATCAGCTTCTTGGCATCACAGTATCCCCATTTCTTTTCTTTTTCTTTCCGTCCCCTTTTAATTGCCACCTGGCTGTCTCAGCACCACCTCTCCTGTCCAAAACTGACCTTGATACTAGCCCTGTCAAAACAGATCTCAAATTTTCATTCAACTTTCTTATTTCCATTCAACCTAAAAACTACTACTCTCCTAATCCTTCAGGGGCTTAAACTCAAAGACACCTTGAAGTCTTCTCTTGCACTTAATCTCTAATTCGCTCAGTCACCAGGCTGTGCTAATAAATCTTCCTGTGGGATATTTTTATCATGGTCATCTCTCATCTACAGACGCTGAGATGCTTCTGTACTGATGCTTACTGATGCTTACTTACTGCTTATCCTGTACACACAGCATCTTCAATCCATATTATAAACCTTCAAAGAAAAATGGTAGTGAGAGCTGAAATGACATTCCAGAGACATCACAGCCAGGATTCAAACCTAGGTCGGTCTGACTCCAAAAGCTATGATCTCTCCACTACACTATGGTGCCTCTCGCTAGTTATTCTTTCCTCTCCATTTCCACTGCCACCATCCTAGTGTGAGATCCTTTAATCTCAGTGGAAGCTTCCTCTTTCATTCCCACTGGAATCCAGCCTCACCCTGTACTAAAATACCACTGTCCTCCTGACAACACCAAAAAGAAAACAAAAACAAAATAACTTTCAACAGCTCACCCTGAACTAAAGGATGAACACACACACACACACACACACACACACACACACACACACACACACACACCCCTGCCCCCGCCCCCCAAACGGAAACAAAAACTCCTCATATCCAGTTAGAGTGAAAATATTTTTGGAATTTTGAGAGGGCAAAGTATAGGTAGACTCACAAACATATCACATTTCATGTTCAGAAACAATAAACTTGCTGTGGCACTGACTGTAAAACACAGAAGGGTAAGAGATGTAGGGGGGCTGACAGGCCACCTTTGGAAAGGAGAGATGACACTTTTATGGTTGACAGGAGGTTTTCATTCCTTTTGGATTTTAGGACCATGGTGGATGAGCTCTTTATGCCTCTCCAGGGCTATTCCTTACATTCTATTAGAAGAACCTCAGAAGATTTGATCAGAGCAGAGATTATAGTACATAATAAAATCTGGGACTAGAAGGTTACTTAGAGGTCATCTGTTATTGATGGGGAAAGTAAGGCTGGTGAGGTAAAGCGGAATCAGAAGCCACATGTTCTGAATCCCAATGTAGGGCCATGTGTGCTAGCTCTGTGTTTGTCACTGGACATCTTGTACATGTGGCATTTGTGCAGATCCACTCCCAGACAGTTGTCACTGGTTCACATTCGGAAGAACAGTCACTTCCTCACAATGCGCATTTCTCATTGCTGACTGTATCAGCATTTAATCAATATCAGATGGCACCACCTGACCTCCCTTTCCACTTGACCCATTTTTTTCTGTCTTGTTTTTTCTTCCCCCTCCCAGACTTATTTTTAATAAGAATTCTGTTTTATCTTTCCCTCTCTGCCCTCAGCTGGGAGGACATAGGAATGCCTACTACAAAGAGATCCTGCTGGCTCACGTAGCTGGAGGACCCCTCCTCCTTGAACCTAGATGGTCACAAAAAACATTCAAGAGAGATATCCCCTGGTTAGCAGCCTTTGTAGTGTTTGTTTTCTTAGCATTACTTTCCAGAGGCTGGGGACTCTGTTCCCAATGGAGGGGGTGGGGTAGGAAGGGCAAGCAAATGGATCTGTAGAGTGCTGCCGATAAGAGATTCTAGGGCAGGAA